ATTATTTTATATTTTAATTTACATTTATTTTTAAATATATTTTATATTATTTTATATTTTATATTATTTTATATTTTATATTATTTTATATTTTATATTATTTTATATTTTATATTGTATTTTATTTTATTATGTTTTGTTTTATATTTTATATTATTTTTATATTTATTGTTTTATTATTTTACTATTTTATTTTATTATTTATTACTTTACTTTATTTTATTTTATTTTAATTTTTTATTTTACTTTATTTACATGCTGCCCATCCCATTACTCACTGCCCGGGCGGCTTCTGCGCCGGCGCCCCAACGCCGGGCGCCCGCGCGCGCGGGATTCGAATCCTCCCCGCGAGGGAGACGGCTTTCTCCCTCCTTCCCCAAGCGAGGGAGCATCTCGCCCCGCCCCTCGCCCCTCCCCCGTCCAATCCCCGGCTCCGGCTAGGTTTAAAAAAGAGAGAGCGCGAGGTGGCTGGCTCTAAAAAAAATGGAAAGAGGCGTGGCTCTAATTCGGCCCGGCGATTGGCTCTTAGTTCGCTCTCCTCCAAAGGGCGGGGCTAAAGGTTTTTTTTTTAAGAGCGGTAGGCAGCCAGAGTAAAGGGGAGGAGCCTTCCTCGGGCTCCGCCCCCCGGCAGGCTCGGCGCTCACTATGAACTAGCTCCTTGGCGCCGCGGCGGCCGTTCTGCGAGAGCTGGCAAGGATGAAAGCGGGTGGTGAGCGATCTCCGCGGGTCCCTCTTTGCAAAACCTGGGAGTTGCCCATAGGGCTTGGGGAGGGGGAGATACCCCATATTAAAACCTCTGTTTGAGTGCGGGTCTTCAGGGTGGGAGAGAGGGGGATGTTTCAAGCTTTGCTCCCTGGGATGTCCTACACGGGAGTAGCTCATCCCCACCACCGGTCATCCCCGGGGATAGATGGTTTAGCCCCTTTCCACCCTTTTTTGGGGGGCAGGGTCTGCCTTTGCAGGTTAAAGCGATGCTGGAGCCCGACGTCCGAAAGCGGGCTGGCTGGACACTAGTTAAGTGCAAAAGCCCCGCCTGGGTGCGCAGGATGCAAGGCAGGGGTTCGGCGGGCGGGAGGGTTGGACTAGATGACCTCCAAAGTACCTCCCGGCTCATCTGTTAGTCCATAATTTGACCCCCTCCCCAAATGGGTGCATAGTCTTTATTCCCCCCCCGGTGCGCAGGATGCAAGGTTAGTTGGACGGGAAGGTTAGATTAGATGACCTCCAAGGCCCCTCCCGACTCGTCTGCTAGTCCATCATTACCCCTTTTGCATTCCCCCAATTTCGATGCAGACCCCTTGATTTCCCCAGCCCGTCAACCGGCTAAACCCCCAGTCCCCAGCGGAGGCGCCACCGGATGCCTTCGCAAAAACTTGGCTTAAAGTTTGTTAAGGAAAGTTTTTCCCAAGTTGGCTTAAGTTTTAAATCCACCCCCCCTTTTTTTTCTTTGGGGCGATGGTTTAGCCTCTTTGCTGGAGTCGGTTTATGGATTCCTTCTTTTTCTCTTTTTTACAAAAAATTTTTTTTCTAATTTTTTAAAACCTCAACGGGGGGGGACGTCCGTAGTTTTTGGGCGGGTCGATTTAAAAAGTGAGCCGAGCCTATTAGAAGATCAGAGCGGGCTTGTCTGCGGAGGGGATTGGCTTAAGACTTTTGCATGGACTCCATAAGGCAAGATTTCTTCTTTTTTTACAATAGGAATTGCCTTTGGGGTATATTTTTATTCCCTCCCCATCCTGCACCAAAAGGACAGGGTAGTTTATAAATCCAGATTTTCATGGATTTAGTGCAAAGTTTGGCATGGGGGGGAAAAAGGTTTCAAAGTCTTTAAACAATGAGACATTATCTGCTTTTTAAGCAGAGTTAAAGTCTTTTTTTCAAGGTTTGTAAACCCAGAGCTCACTTTGATTGGAGGCTTCAAAGAAAGAAATAGACTTTTGCATATTTTAAGCTGCTTCCAGCTTTTAAAATAGAATAGAATTCGTTATTGGCCAAGTGTGATTGGACACACAAGGAATTTGTCCTTGGTGCAGATGCTCTCCGTGTACATAATGAAAAATAAAATAAAATAGAATACATTCATCAAGAATCGCTTAAGCTGCTGGATTTCAAAGCTGTGCCATGAGGCTTCACTCAGTCGAATTTTGCTGTTTTTCTCTCTCTTGTAAGGAGAAATGGATTTCTGGAGGAAAGAATAAATCAAATAGTTTTCTTGTTTTGACTTTCCTAAAAAATGTTTGAACCCAAGCATTCCCCCCCCCCTCAAGACGAGTTACTCTAATAGAGTCTGAATAGAGGCACAACTCACAAATAGAGGCACAATATCAGAGATATTGTGGGTTCAACTCCAGACCGCCCAATAAAAAGAATATGTCAATAGTGTCACTATTTTTTGTTTCCCTGTGCATATAAAAATGATGTTTACACTATAGTTTATTAAATGTGAAACGGCGTGTCTTGGGGACCTTAATTAAAAATCCCTTATTGCTTTAAAATATTAATTTAATAGTGCTATCTGCTAACTGTACGCAGTCTTTGACTTGGGACCGCTACTGAGCCCAAAATTTCTGCTGGTGAGGCAGTTGTTAAGTGAATTTTGCCCCATTTTACGACTTTTCTTGCCACCGTTGTTAAGTGAATCGCTGTATTTGTTAAGCTAATCACCTGGCGGTTAAGTGCCTCTGGCTTCCCCATTGACTTTGCTTGTCAGGATGTCACAAAAGGGGATTCAATGACACCCCCCCCCCCCAGGACACTGCAACCGTCATAAATATGAGTCGGTGGCCAAGCGTCTGCATTTTTTATCGCATGACATGGGGATCCCGCAATGGTCGTACGTCTTTTTTTTCCCAATGCTGTTGTTCAGTGAGCGGACACTGAATGAACTATTGAGCCAGCGTCGTGCAGTGGTTAGAATGCAGTATTGCAGGCTAATTCTGCTGACTGCCGGCAGTTCGATCCCGACCGTGTCAAGGTTGACTCAGCCTTCCATCCTTCCGAAGTGGGTAAAATGAGGAGCCAGATTGTTGAAGGAAATATGCTGACTCTATAAACTGCTTAGAGAGGGCTGTAAATCACTGTGAAGCGGCATATAAGTCTAAGTGCTATTGTAAGTCATGATCACCTGTATGTAATTTTCATTAAAATTGATCCAAAAGGCACCAGGCTGAAAAGCAGGAGATAATGAATTCAAGTCCTACTTTAAACATGAAAACTGGCTGGCTGACAATGGGCCAGTCATTCTCTCTCAGCCCAACCCACCTTACAGGGTTGTTCTGGGGAAAGCAGGAGGAGGAAGGGACATTACGTATGTTTGCTAACTTGAATTATTTGTAAAAAAAATAATAATAGTGAAGGCAGGGATCCAAATGAATACAATTGCCATTTTTTGCCCATTTTAAAATGAGCTGAAATTTGGCAATCATGTTTTGCTATTGCGCAATCTGGGGGGGGCATCCATAATTAGCAAAAAAAGAGAGAGAGAGAGAGGAGCTTTTCGACAATGGTTATTCCTGGAGTCTTATGAAATCGTCATGTCTCCTGCAACTTCCTGGAGTCTTGCTAAAATTTCGAGACAAGATCTCGTTTTGCAAAGCGTGGGTCAGGTTTGCTGGATAGCTTCTAGCATAAGAGATCCAGTTGATCCCTCCGATTACCTATACCTACAGCAGGGTAAAGAATCCGAAAGGGTTAAGAGTGGATTCCCTGTTTATAAATTCTGACATATATGTTCCTGCTTGGTTTCGGTTGGTCAAAGAAACGGGCCTCCCTTCGAACCGGTCCATCTTCGTTCAAAAGAAAAGGTCGCATTGAATTTGGTAGAGAGCCTGCATAGGATTTTTATGATAGTAAAAATTGTGGGAATTGACATACTGTAAGTTTCTAGAAGAAACTCAAAACCTGTCAATGTCATCTGGCTTGGAAGTGCTAGTGCTTCCACATCGGTTCCTATAGGAGGCAGAGCTGCGGGCCGGAGTAAAGGTGGATTATGATTTAAATCAAGTCGCTTTAAGTCATGATTTAAATCACTAGTAAAAAGGCTTGATTTAAAACAAGTCAGTTTAAATCATAATTTTTAAAGATCTCTATCCCGCAGTGGCTCTTCTGTTCACTCACCGACAGTCCCAATATTGCAGAATAGGCAGCCCCACGCTTCCTAACGAAGCTCCATTTCATGCTGGAATAAACTAAATGATTAATGTATCTTGAAAAGAAAGGGTAGATTTTTACTCCAAATGCATTTTATTAAAATAAATTTGATAAAAAATATTTAAAAATCTGATTTAAAGTTTTAAAATCCTATTTTTTTAAAAAAAATCATTGGTTTTTATCCACTTTGGGTCGGAGTTAAGCAAGTCATTAGCCAAGAGTCTACGTAGCCACAAATGTTCCAAGCCCAACTCTTGAATTCCGTTGACCCTCATCTGGCACCAATTTCATATTAAACTTCAGTTGAGTAGAGTCTTGTTTTTGGCCTTGGGCAATAAATCTTCTGAATGGCACCTTAGTGGAAGGTGCCCTGATTCTTCGCGCCTCTCATTTTCCGGCCCTGGTTTCATTGCAGTCACCCACTGCCGATGTTCCCGGTGCTTTCCGGTCCCTTCCAAGAGAAGGCTGAAGAAGAGGCCCCGTGTCCTCACCCTGCTCTCCCTTCCAGAAGATATTCTCTTCCATGTTCTCAAAGGTCTTCCTATAGAAGACATCCTTTCCCTCCGAGCTGTAAGTCCAAAACTTTTTATTTTTATTTTGCACTTTCCATATAGGGTTTCTTGCTGTACAGGTCAAGGAGTTCCCCAACCTTTTGGGCCTCGGGGACCCAATAACTCATAATTTTAAATCCCGCGGACCACTGATATGATCTGCCTAAAGACTGGGTGGGTGGGTGTGGCTAGGTGGTCATGTGACTGGGTGGGCGTGACCAACTCAAGCGACGCCCCGCCAGCCTCTACTTGCCCTTCTACTTCCAGCCAGTCCTTGCCTGCCCGCCTGGGCTCCTTAGGGCCCCAACAGGAAGCAGTTGTTGGATGTAAGCAACCGCCATGAGAAAGAGTTGGCAAAACAGCTCAGTTCAAATTGGATCTGGCCGAGAAGGAGGCTCAGCACCTCCCTGAGGACTATCAGCATAGGCTTTCCAAGCAGAGGGAAGACCTGTGGGTGTGCAAGGCCAGGTACCAGCGCCTAGAGACTCAGTGGGCTGAGATGGACAGCTAGTTCCAGGCCATGATGCAATCCCACTGGAACAAGGCCCTCTGGCTCTTCGCCACCAGCGGCACTTCCCTCCAGCCTTTGCCCAAAGCCCCTCACCAGGAGGCAGAAGCAGACCCTGAGTCAGAATTTTTGCCCCCCCCTCCAACCAGCCCAAAAAGAGCCCGTAGGGGAGACTCTCTGGAGCAACACAAGCATTCATTGCACATATCCGGCCCGGGGGCTGTACTTTGAGGACCCCTGATTTAGTGCAATATAAAAATGCAAAACAATTTTGGGCTTACCACCAAAATTTTCTCACAGACCACCAATCAGTGACCGCTGGTATACGTAGTCCTACATTAGGCCCCCCAACCGAGCCCAATAATCCGTGGTAGAAACAGAATAACTGGTCCTTCCAGTCTTAGCACAATTGTTTTCCAGGGTATTCCACCTGGCTTGACGTTAATTCCCCTTATTTGAGGATTCCTTGGCTATTACAGTGTGCTTCGCTCTCTTCCAGGTGCATTCTCATCTTAAGTATCTTATAGATAATCACACCTGCATTTGGGCCTGTGCAAGCTTTCAAGAAGAATGGCCTTCTCCCAGAAACTTGAAAATCTTTGAAAGGTAACTTTTTGGAACTTGGGAAATTGTCAGCTATCTTTCCCTACGCAAGAAGAGTTGCTAAGTGAGCAATTGTTAATCGAGGGTTACCTGTATGTATATAGAATAGAATAGAGGAGAATGGAATAGAAAAGAAAATCAAGAGTAGAATAGAAATATATGGAATAAGGATAGAATAGGAATATATGGAATTAGGATAGGATAGGATAGGATAGAAATATATGGAATTAGGATAGGATAGGAATATACGGAATAAGGATAGGATAGAAAAGAATAGAATAGGAATATATGGAATTAGGATAGAATAAGAATATATGGAATTAGGATAGAACAGAATAGGAATAGAATATGAATAGATGGAATAAGGATAGGATAGAATAGAAATATATGGAATTAGGATAGAATAGAATAGGAATATATGAATAAGGATAGGATAAAATAGAATATGAATATATTGAAATAGAATAGGATAGGAATATATGAAATAAGGATAGGATAGAAAACAATAGAATATGAATATATGGAATTAGGATAGAATAGGAATATATGGAATAAGAATAGGATAGAATAGGAATATATGGAATAAGGATAGGATAGGACAGAATAGAACAGAACAGAAGAATGAAGAAAGAATGGAATAGAATAGAATAACAGAGTTGGAAGGGACCTTGGAGGTCTTCTAGTCCAACCCCCTGCCTAGGCAGGAAACCCTAAACCACTTCAGACAAATGGTTATCCAATATCTTCTTAAAAACTTCCAGTGTTGGAGCATTCACAACTTCTGGAGGCCAAGTTGTTCCACTGATTAATTGTTCTAACTGTCAGGAAATTTATAATGTAATTATAAATTACATGTGTAAATTACATGTGTAATAATCACAGTGGACAGAACAATGGGTTTTTAGTGCAAAAAGTCCTCATTCTTTCCAATTTTCACCATCTCTCAGAGTAACGATGGCCTCTTGGAGAGGGGATGTTGGTTGACTTGCCAAGTGCATTAGTTAAGACAGTTAAGGGGAGAATGAAACCCCGATTTGTTCTACAGCTCCCTGTATTTTGCTGAGCTCTGAATTCCTCCAAGTAACAAATCTGCTTTTGGTCTCCCCCCCCCCCCCAATTCATTCAGGGCTGCAGAAAAGGGTAACTTTGAAGCCGCTGTGAAACTTGGAATAGCCTACCTCTACAATGAAGGCCGTAAGTGTCTGCACCCCACTTTGGAGACAGTTGTCCTGGCCTGCCAGGTTGAGCCAGGCCCAACTTTGCTTGGCAAAGGGACCTTGTTTGTGACAAATAAGTTGATACGTAGCTGAGTTTGATGTATGTGTGAAAAAGAAGTTCTCTGTTCAATCACAATCCTTCCTGCCCTCCTTTCCTTGCTCTTCCTTGCTCTCCCCCCTTTCCGCTTCTTTCTCCTTCCTGTCCTTTCTCTTCCCTCCTTCTTCCCTCCCTCCCTTTTGTTTCCTTCTTCCTTTCCTTCCATCCATCCTGGTTCTCACCAAATCTTTCTTTTTTCCTTCCTTCCTTTCTCTCATTAAATCTTCCTTCTTTCCCTTCTTGGTTCTCACCAAACTTTTCTTTTTTCTTTCTTCCTTTCTCTCACTAAATCTTCCTTCCTTCCTATCTTCCTTTTTTCCTTCCTTCCCTTCCTGGTTCTCACCAAATCTTTCTTTTTTCTTTCTTCCTTTCTCTCACTAAATCTTCCTTCCTTCCTATCTTCCTTTTTTCCTTCCTTCCCTTCCCAGTTCTCACCAAACTTTTCTTTTTTCCTTCCTTCCTTCCTTCCTTCCTTCCTTCCTTCCTTCCTTCCTTCCTTCCTTCCTTCCTTCCTTC